AAAACAAACACAAAACACACACTCACACAAACACACACACACACACACACATACACACACACACACACACACACACACACACACACACACACACACACACACACACAAACACATATACACACACACACAAACCACATATACAAACATACACATAGCACTCACACCCCCCACACACAAGAAAACAAACACACAAATACAAATACACACACATACACCCCCTTACACATATGCATAGACACGTGCACGCATGCATACACCCCACACACACACAAAAACAAACACAGAAATACACACACAAATACACCCCCTTATACAAATGCATAGACACGCACACACACATACACCCCATTACACATATGCATCGACACGCGCATACACACACACACACGCACACACATTAACCATATTTTCAAACAATTTAACCTTTCTCCTCCTCCTCCTCCTCCTCCTTAGCCTCCTCTCTCAGCTGAAAGTTTACCCCAGCCTTCCTCCTCTGTAAACCTCCCCGTACCCACTTACCCACGCCACACCATAAACCCCGACATGACCTTCAACCCCAACACCGAAACCTCCGATCCCAAGTTCAAAGGTCACCCAGAATACATGAGTGATTTCCAGCACCCTCTGCACCTCTCGTCCGGCATGCCTTCATACGGCCAGCAGGGGGCGTTCAGCAACACAGAGATGCCACAGGAAAACCCTTACCCAGCAGCCTGCCTCAGACCACGGTGATTATCCTTTAGCAGTTTTAAATCCGTTTTAACTTTGATGAGATATTTAAAATCAGTGTGGAGTTTGCATGTTCTCCCCGTGTTGGCGTGGGTTTCCTCCGGGTGCTCCGGTTTCTCCCACAGTCCAAACACATGCGCTATTGGGGAATTGATGAACTAAATTGGCCATAGTGTATGAGTGTGAATATGAGTGTGATTTCCCAGTGCTGGGTTGCAGCTGGAAGGGCATCCACTGTGTAAAACATACGCTGGATAAGTTGGCGGTTCATTCCGCTGTGGCGATCCCTGATTAATAAAGAGACTAAGCCGACAAGAAAATGAATGAATGAATGAAAATAACTTTGCCTCAGACACAGATATTCCTCCGGCCAATCACGGACCTGCTCGGCTGCCACGCCCACCGTCATCACCCACAAAGGCTCTACTATAACCGTCCCGCCAGCAGACGCTCAGCTCGGGCACGGATACTCCAGTGTTGGCGAAATATTTCCTCCGTCCTCCTGCATGTCTGTAAACTACCAGCCGATGCCCGCCGCTGGACTCCATCACTGCTTCTCTGTGCCGCAGCAGGTGGGCGGAGCTACAGGCAGAGGGAAGCACAAACAGAAGAGCGGAGGAGCCCCATTGGTTCCCAGAGTGATGACGTCATCCGTAACCCCACCCTCCCAGACCAGCTGCCTGGCCAATCTGCTCTCGTCCAGATCTCAAGAGCGTACGTTTCTATCTTCTGTCAGTTTTTTTCCCCTGTGTAGTTTCTTAAATTTGCCTTTTTATTGATTTATTTAATCATTAGTTTCCTATATGGATGTTTAAAGGAGTGTTTCAGTTGTTGTTGCTATTGTTAACAAAACTACAACTTAAAATGTTTGCTATTTAACTTAATTCTAAATAATTTAAGCTATCGATCCCTTCGGATGGGGTCACTTTTATATTTTCTTTTAGCTTATTTTTCAGTTAAAGGGTCACGAAACACCAAAACACATTGTAAGGCTTGAAGCTTACGCTGCTATTCTGAACCAATAATCGGAAACGGAAAGCAGTTGAAGGATGGCGTGTTTAAATCCATTATTTATCTGACTCCATTGTAATTAATCTGGCTCCATTAAAGTTGTTATCATCATTGATAAAGAGAAAGAATCTCTACGTCTTAAAGCAGGCAAAGTTGTTTATTAAGTTACATGTTTAAATATACAGACATTAGAATGAAAGAAACTAAGATACTGTATAAAGAAATTAGCTGTAACATATGCACTGCTGAGCAACAAAGACAGTGAAACTGCCTTTGTTAGCATATAGCCCCTTTCACACAGTGATACCGGTAAATATCTGGAAAACTTCCGGAACGACTTTACCGGTATATTCAAAAAAGCTCTGTTCACACAGGCGAGGACGTTACGGAAAATTTCCGGAAAAGAGCATTCACACATCCATCCCAAAATACCGGTAAATTCGGACATCATTCACCACAAATGAGCTTTAAACGGCTGCGCTTGTATTTGTAAACATTTGACTACATTACAAACTCTGTGGATGGATCAGTATTGTGAACAACTTCGATGAAAACATATAGAGAAACACTTTCACATGTCGAGATGTTCATAATATGTGTGTGTGCTGGCGCTCACAGGCCGTTTCACAGGCACACGCAAAGCTTGAAGGTAAACAAACAACGGCTTATCATAAGCATCTCATCGATGATTATTTACACAGTTGGCATTAGGAAGAACATATAAACGTGATCTGACTAACTTCTAGCAGCTAAATGTGTCTGGAAAAATATTCAAAGGCTTTTATTCTCACAAACCGCGCGGACGTAAATGCGTCTGACTGTTGTGATTGGCTAAAGCAGACGTCTCGCGTCAGCATGTTCTAGACGTGGACGCGCTTATTACGGGAATCTTCCTTCTGCATTCACACAGCGCAGCATTCCGGCAAATTGCCGGTAATGTTACAACTTCTCTTTCCGGAAAATAGCCAGAACGAATTTACCGGTATTTTCAAAAAGGACCTGTTCACACATACACACCTTTCAGGTCTGTATGTGTGAAAGGGGCATATGAGGCTACGCACTGGTGTGCGGGAGATGCAGAGTAAAAGCCATTCTCCCATATCAACAGTTACCTTTCCCTATTCTACCCTGAGCAAAGCATTGTCAAACATGAGTGAAAACCAACCCCCAAAACCAGCTGGACATGAGAGCAAAGTTGAAGAGATAAATTGGGGGATAAGCACATTAACATACTCTCCTCAGGCCATGACCCAACAATAGTAAATATATTGTAGATTGAAATATAATCAATCAATGTCTCTGTTGATTTCATCACTACAACACTGAAGTCATAAACTGTCAAATGACACCAAACATGACAAAGTTATATGAAGGAAGAACACGAGCAGATGAATTGTGTATGGTGAACAGCACATGGTTACTGTAAGCAAATGGCAGAGATGTGTATCGGAGCTGTGAGGAACTCTGCCTCACCAGGAGGACCCATGCCTTGCTTGGAATGTCTCAGTAGTCCTTCATTAGCATAGAAGGAAAAGTATAGAATATTTTTTCAGCTTACAACATGTTTTAGGCTGTTGACAGTCGTATATGTGTCCCACACTGTGCTATTAGGACACATATATCTCACTAAAAAGTGTGAATTGGTTGTTTTTGCGTTATTTCGAGCAAATTTGTACTTCCGGTTTGAAACAAATTTTTGAAGCTGCGTCACGGCCATGAGATCTTAGCGTGTATTCCAGCGTGCAGACTGGATGTCTTTACCAGGGCGTCCCGTATTACGTCTCTGAGTGTGCTGCATTCATTCATGAGTATGGCTTGGTTCAAACCAATCAGCGCTCTCCATTATGAATGCGCTGCAACTTCATTAATATGCATGCTAGCTTTCTTAGACTGTAACTGAAACAGTGTTCAGACGGCCGAAAGACAACACGCGTCGTGTTGCCAAAAGTTGTGGGAAAAGAATAAGAATTGTTTGGAGATACGGGTCGCCAGTGTTGCTTTCATAATGTGAAGGTTTTGTTTCATTTTTTTCTCTATGAGAGTTATTTTTGGCCTTATTGCCTTTATTAGATAGGACAGTATTGATACAGGAAGCAAAGTGGGAGAGAGAGAGGGGGGAAGGGTAGGGAAATGTCCTCGAGTCGGGATTCGAACTCGCGACGCCCTGACGTGCTAATGCACCATATGTCGGCGCGCTAACCACTAGGCTACTGCACCGACGTTTCATTTTCTCTCTATGAGAGCGCTGTGTATCTGTGTACGTGACGCGCGGCTAAAAAGTGTTTGTTTGGAACATTTTTATAGTGTGATAGTGTTGGGATCTAGTGAGCATATCTGTAATGTATTGAGCTCCTAGGCCATTTAGTGATTTATAGACAAGTAATAATACTTTAAACTCTATTCTGAATGTAAGTGTAAAGCATATCTGTCAACACTGGGATGTGAAAATAAGGGATATGCCCACCATAATAAGAGATTTCCCCCCATCTTAAAAAAATACCCAAATTACTAAATATGTTCAGTTGGACATTAGCATTGTAAATAAACAGTTAAATGGTCAGTAATATGTTTTGAAATTATTATTAACAAAAGAAAAATAAATTTATACATTATCAGCAAATACATTAGCAAACAGTTCAGCTTATTAAAATTAAAAGCTATTATAATGAAGCAGAGTCAAGCTATCAAATCTCATTAGCTGTTTCTTCACTGTATAACTAACGCATGCACACATCTAATGTTATAATGAAAGCATTCGACTGCTTTTCTTAAATTTTTATGCACATTTAAGACGAAATTAGTTGTGTTTGGGAAAAAAAAACCTACCAAGATCGACATCCCTATATGTTATTATTATTAATTATGTGGATATGTCTGTTTAAAAGCGCACCCAAAAGCCAGACTTTCTCTCCGCTTCAAATCGCGTGTACAGAATCCGTTTGGGAAACAGCATTTGCTTATGGAGGAGTACGTCAGCTGACAGTCCTGCACCATTATATGACTGTTTTGAGGATTGTATAGGATGCGCGACGGCACCTGTAATCAAAAGGAAATGGAATCGCGCCGTTATTAATATTTATTTCTCAGTGTTTTCATTCCTAAACAAAGCGAAAGCACAGAAGACTCACGTAAGGGTGCGACCCCTGGTGGTTCGGTGGTATGGGTTGCGTATAGGGAGGCTCGACTGTTAAATACTGAAAATACAGGAGAAATACGGGAAAATACCTTTACGGGATGATAGCGGGATAGAACAGTAAAATACGGGAGAATCCCGGGAAAAACGGGAGGGTTGACGGGTATGGTGTAAAGTGTCCTGTGTAAAGACCTGAGGACAGGTGGGATGTGCTCTGGTTTTCTGGTTCAGGTCAGAATCTAGGCCGCAGTGTTCTGGATGAGCTGCAGTGCTAACATGTTTTAATGCTAGATTTATATGTTATGTTTAGCTACTGTTATTAAAAAGAATTGAATAGTTTAATAATAATGAATATAAACGTCTAGTTGAATAAAAAAAATACAGTATAAGCAATACATAAACTCAAAACTGTTGCTACTGTATGGGAACTGATTGACGTAAACTAAGTGTGTTGATATACATAAATGAAAATGTCTTGTCTTAATCCTATCAAAATAGCAAACACTACATCTCTATATATTTAGGCTAAAAGACTGCTTTATTTATTTATTTATTTATTTAAGACTTATTTGTACTGAATGTTTGTGCTTTCATTTTAGTTGTCTTTTATTTCTTCAATTCTATTTTTCAAAACGAATCCTCTTTGCACTTAAAAAGTTTACAATAAACCAGGTAAACGAAATTTAAATGTAAGTTGAGGTGATCGCAAGTTCACAACTGTGAGGTGATGTGCTCTACCGGCAGGATAATCTATATTATTTTGCTGTTTTTCATATGCGCACGTTTAAGATTTGAGATAATAACATTGCCATGATAGTCAAAGAAATCAAAACATTATTTTCACCCCAACGCAATGAAGGCTAATAACTTAATTCTTATATTTGCTTTTTGACTTCTCACCATGTATCTTTTCTACAGCATAGTATAGTGTAAGAGCATGTCTATTACCAGAAAAACTAAATTAAAGTTATATTTTAATTGAACACATCACATCACATACAGTAAGCTATGCCTACAGAACAGTCTGTTTAGCATTGTGAAAAGGCAAAGCTGAATATCTGTGGTTAAAGTGCCACCCAGCGGTCAAATGCTGCTGTGCATCAATTACCACCGTCGCCGCGGTATGAATGGCGGCAAAAGGAACACATTGAAGTAGTAACATCTGTATGAAAGCAACGACCTAAACTAAATGAAAATATAAAAACAAGACATAGTTAAAATGTTTTTGTAATGCTATATAATTAATAGTACCACAGTTAAAAATGTTTGTTGCGGCACTGTCACATTTTTTTCAGGTGTCATTTGCTTAGACTTCCTTTGTAAATGTATTTATGTAAATACTCCTTTGTTTCAGTTTTTAGAAACTGAAGCTGCGTCCCAAATGGCACACTATGCACTCATGCACTATGTACTTATGCACTTACACACTCAACAGGATAGTTTATGTATGTAGTGTCGTCCCAAATGGTACACTAATGGTTATTTACTAAACGGAAATTCAAACCGCTTCCCTAATGTTGTTTGACGGTTGCCAAATCAGTGAAATAAACGACCGAATTATCAAATATTACCTGCCGTGAGTATAACCACATTCACCATCGGGAGGCGCTGTAATCACTCTCGTAGGAGAATTTTGCTTTCACCATCCAAAATAAATCAAGTAATCCAACATGTGCGCCCGATAGCTCCGCCCCTTCCGCTACGTAAGCAAACCTGTAGTCGTTAAGTGCGTGAAGTGTCCATCATTACACACTTAATTTTAGCGGCTGAATGAGTGCATCATCCGGGTAATTAAAGTGCACTTATTATTTCTAGAGTTTTTAGTGTGAACGCAGTACTTACACTATTTATACTACAAAATGGCGTAGAATAGTGCATAAGTATGCGATTTGGGACGCAGCTGGAGTCACATGTCTAAATAGTTTTCTCTAATTAACAACAAAAAGATGAATGTGTATCTTTTTTTTTCCTCCAGGAAAACCATCATTGAGTTTTGATGCTCCTGCAACCGTGTCAAAGGGACAAAGATCCACATCACCCATTCCTCCGGTACAAAAACATGCATTTAAATAATAGCTGATAATCCACAGGGGCTGTGCGATATGTCATACACATTTATACAACAGTTCTGTCTGGTTCTCGAATCTGATTGGCTGATAACCATGTGTGCGATATTCTGCGTGCGATATTCTGCAATATCAGAACTCCTACAGCCTCTTCACTCTTGTGTATTACTCCACCCACATAGAGTGACAGCAGACCAATAAACTCACTACAGTTTGACAAATATTGCAGCTGTTGGACAACACAATGTACTTTTGAGGCTTTTTTAGTGGAGAATGTTGCTGTTTAGATTGCAACTATGCAGTTTATTTATAAGGAGAGTGCCTGTTTTAAATATTTATCATTTCTGAGAGAGAGCGCGTTGGCGGTCATCAGCCTGCCATTGAGCAAAGCAAAGACGGTTGAGGCTGTCCATCCTCAAGACGGTGACAGAGACCGCATAAAAAGCCTTAGAGAAGGAAAAGTAATTTCAAACTAAAGCTGATCAAACCATTATAAAATTAGTAAATGACTTTCTAAGTCAATTTCTCTCTTCTGTAGTGCTGTGTTTATATCATAGTAATTGTAGTTTATTGACATGGTAACTGTAGTGTACTTTTAAATATCAGGAATGTATTTATTTTGTGTTGGTCCACTCTTTGTATAACCCTGAGTTACTTTTCGGTTGGGCATCTGTTTCTAATGAGTCTCCTGTTTTCGTTACTGCAGACAAGTTCAGTAAAAAGAAATAATTTTTTATGCATACGCAGGGTTGATGCATGAGGCCCCTGGTGTTTTTGTCGCAGCTCACCTCTGAAATGTCTTCAAATTTGAGGCGTTCATTCACGTAACACACACAGTCCCATATGCGTACATCACTTGACAGCATCTAAAGAGATGAATGATTCAAACCGAGGACTCGAGAGATGAATGAATCAAATCTTTTTCTGTCTCTGATTGCATATGATTGGCCTCTGTCTTTCACGTGATGAACGAACGACTCAAACCGAGGACTCGAAAGATGAACGAATCAAATCTTTTTCCGGGTCTGACTGCATATGATTGGCTACTGTCTTTCTCGTGATAAATGAACGACTCAAACCGAGGACTCGAGAGATGAACGAATCAAATCTTTTTCTGTCTCTGACTGCATATGATTGGCCTCTGTCTTTCATGTGATAAACAAACGACTCAAATTGTAGACTCGAGAGATGAACGAATCAAATCTTTTTCCGGCTCTGACTGCATATGATTAACTACTGTCTTTCACGTGATGAATGAGCGACTATAATCGAGGACTCGAGAGATGAACGAATCAAATCTTTTTCTGTCTCTGACTGCATATGATTGGCCTCTGTCTTTCATTTGATAAACAAACGACTCAAATTGTAGACTCGAGAGATGAACGAATCAAATCTTTTTCTGTCTCTGATTGCATATGATTAACTACTGTCTTTCACATGATAAACGAACGGCTCAAATCGAAGACTCGAGAGATGAACGAATCAAATCTTTTTCCGGCTCTGACTGCATATGATTGGCTCCTGTCTTTCACGTGATGAACGAACAACTCAAATCAAAGACTCGAGACTTAAACAAATCAAATCTTTTTCTGTCTCTGACTGCATATGATTGGCCTCTGTCTTTCTCGTGATGAACGAACGACTCAAATTTAAGACTCAAGAGATGAATGAATCAAATCTTTTTCCGGCTCTGACTGCATATGATTTGCTGCTGTCTTTCATGTGATGAACGAACAACTCAAACTCTATAAAGGACTCTAAAAAGTAACTTATCTTCTCCTCCACCTGTACAAATGTGCGCATGCGTGAATGAACTAATCACTCCTTGAAAGGACTCATCAATCTCGAGTCATATAAACGATTAATTTAAAATGAATGACCCATCACTAATATATTGTAGCGGTATTTGGCTAATAAAGTGGGTTGGGCGCCAGGGGTTGAAAGACCCCACTACAGTTTCTTAAATAATTCAATTAAATGAAAATTTAAGTTTCAACAGATGCATGATTTAATAAAACCAAATCAGATATTCAATCATACAACAGATCAATGAATTAATAAAGAAGAAAACGAAAAGAACAAACTTTAACTTCAACACATTGTAAGTAAATCCATAAACCAAACAAACTTAAATTTCCAGGCCCAGGCACAATACCTTTTAATTACCTTTTACAAACAAAACCATCAACGGGTGATACATCAACCAACCATAAAGAAATAAATCAAATAAACCACTTCTAAATATACAACAATCAATATTAATCAAATTCCCACAAACATAATATTTCAAGTTCAAATCAAATCAATCACACATTCAAGAACTTATAGAACTCAGTTGTACACTTTACACATAGTAGATATTCCATTTGTGCACACTGAATCAATTGCACATTCAATGCACTTGAAATGTCTCTTAGTTCGTATACGCTAAAGTAGATTTTCCATTTGTGCACGTTGAAGCAATCACGAACTCAATGCACTCTGAAATGTCTCTCAGTTCGTATACGCTAAAGTAGATTTTCCATTTGTGCACGCTGAAGTAATCGGGTAATTAATGCACTCTGAAATGTCTCTCAGTTCGTATACGCTAAAGTAGATTTTCCATTTGTGCACGCTGAAGTAAACGGGTAATCAATGCACTTGAAATGTCTCTCAATTCGTATACGCTAAAGTAGATTTTCCATTTGTGCACGTTGAAGCAATCGTGAACGCAATGCACATTCATATGGTTACTCTACCATCTCATTAAATCTTTTGGACATACATACACATATACAAGTTAACCAAAACAATATAAATCAAAGAAGAAACATTTGCTTACCCGATCACCCGTCGATGCTACTGGGCCCAGAAAACTGCAACACAAATCCCGATCACGATAGTGATCAAACATTCAAACAAAAAGAAAGAAAAAACCCAAAACAAAGGCAACTCGAGCGCCAAAAAAAAAAAAATAAACCCGCGCCTCACTCCACAAACAAACCCGAGCGCATAATACGTTCACCATGCATCGCAAATACAACCTCCGCCAAAATCATAAACTCTTCCATTTACAAATGTCGCCGCTTCAACGTCCGCATCAAAAACATACTCGCACTTTCGATGCCGTGACCAACTTCAAAAAACACTGCCACTACCTCAGAGCAAGACCACGCAGCACGAAAACACATATTGAGCTACAAAAAACGGACTCAAAGCAACAAGTACGCAGTGCGCTCTCAACACACACACACACTCAGTCAGCATGACCTCTCAGTGACCCGGAATCACCTGCATGCTGACTGCGTGACAAGGAATGAATGAGAGAGAGCGAGAAACCCATCCAAGGCGCTCTAAATAACGTTGCATCAGCTGACAGCAGTAACCCAATCAGACGTCACTCATATAATAAGGAAAATTCTAATGACGATCGTCACAATATATATATATATATATATATATATATATATATATATATATATATATATATATATATATATATATATATATATATATGCTGGGAAAGTTGATGGTTCATTCCCACTGAAAGGGACTAAGCCAGGGGTGTCCAAACTTTTTGGGCCGAGGTCCAGATGCAAAAAAACAAACGTTGTCGCGGGCCAAATTTTACATACATCACACAGACACGTGTATGTATATGTATATATATATATATATATATATATATATATATATATATATATATATATATATATATAAATACAGTTGAAGTCAGAATTGTTAGCCCCCCTAAATTGTTAGCCCCCGTTTATTTTTTCCCCAATTTCTGTTTAACGGAGAGAAGATTTTTTTTCCACACATTTCTAAACATATTAGTTTTAGTAACTCATTTCTAATAACTGATTTATTTTATCTTTGCCATGATGACAGTAAATAATATTTGACTAGATATTTTTAAGACACTTCTATACAGCTTAAAGTGACATTTAAAGGCTTAACTAGGTTAATCAAGTTAACTACTCAAGTTAAGGTAATTAGGCAAGTTATTTTATAACAATGTTTTGTTCTGAAGACTTAAGGGGCTAATTATTTTGACCTTAAAATGGTTCATAAAAAAATTTAAACCGCTTTTTATTCTAGCCAAAATAAAACAAAAGTCTTTGTCCAAAAGAAAAAAATATTATCAGACATACTGTAAAAATGTTCTTGCTCTGTTAAACATCATTTGGGAAATATTTAAAAAAGAAGAAATAAATCAAAGAGGGGCTAATAATTCAGACTTCAACTGTGTATAGATAGATAGATAGATAGATAGATAGATAGATAGATAGATAGATAGATAGATAGATAGATAGATAGATAGATAGATAGATAGATAGATAGATAGATAGATAGATAGATAGATAGATAGATAGATAGATAGATAGATCATAACAAGAACTGCTGCTTAATTGAATGCATGTAATAGTGACACCCTGTGGTTATTTATTAAATTACGTTCATTTTTGTATAGCGAGCCAGATTCTATTGATATTTATAAAAAGCCTCGCAGGCCGCCACAAAACTGATTGCGGGCCGCAGATGGCCCGCGGGCCGTAGTTTGGACACGCCTGGACTAAGCTGAAGCAAAATGAATGAAACCCTATTGGAAAAAGTGACTCTTTGTTTTCTTCCACAGCAGCCGAAGAGCAGCAGTCGGGAAGGATCACAAATTTCCCACAGTCTCCCCTGGGTCTCTGGTGTAATCCCACCGCTGTCCCCGTTACACTGCCAGACACCACTGTCAGGCCACGGTCACAGCGTTTCCTCGCAGAGCAGCACCATCTCTTCTCTTTTAACACAACAAACAGCGCTTCTCGTCCCCAAAACTGAGAAACTCTCCCCGGTGCAAATGCACACCAGCGACAGGAGCAGTTTAACTGGTGTGTTGGTTCATCTCATCGCACCTTGGAAACAAATAAATCAAGCACTCATGCAAGATAAATCTCAGAATTCAGAGAAATTAAAGAGGTGTACAGTAAACTGGGAATTCAGAGAAGTAACAGTTAAATTTGCAAGATCACAATTTATAATTATTCAAAATGTAATCATTATTATGCAGATTTGATGTTTATTTCTTTAAATTATTTTAATTTTAATTACAAAAATTGTATTTACAAAACTGCAAATTGTAAACTCCAATTTAAAAGAATTAACTGTTAAAATTGCAAGATGTGAACTCAAAATTTAAAAGAAATAACGTTAAAGTTGCTCAGACTTCTGAATTTCTATCGCTCAATTTTGATGTTTATTTCATGAAATTCTCGCAATTTTAATTGCAAAAATTGTATTTACAACATTGCAGTCCAATTTAAAAGAAATAACATTTAAATTGTAAGATGTAAACTCAGAACTTGGAAAAAATAAGAGGTAAACTGTGAGATGTAAAATCAGAATTTAGATAAATAAACATTAAGGGCTCTATTTTGACGGTCCATGTGCAGAGCGCAAAACACAGGGCGCAAACGCTTTCAGGGCGTGTCAGAATCCACTTTTGCTAATTTAAGGACGGAGAAATCCGCTCTGCGCCATGGCGCATGGTCTAAAAGTGTTGAGCTTATTCTCTTAATGAGTTATAGGTGTGTTTTGAGAATAAACCAATTAGAGTCTCATCTCCCATTCCCTTTAAGAGCCAGCTGCGTCGCGCCGTAAGCGCATTTGCTATTTACATGACGTAAAGTAAGTGGAAAAACTGAGCATTTTCTAATTTCAGTTCTAATTTCCAGCAAACGAATAAATGAATAATAATAATGAAATGTGTTCAAAAACCTGAGTTATATCCTAATACACATGCTAATACACATATCTAATCTTGTTTTTAATAAAACAAATATAAATATGCATATAATAAATACTACTGCTAATAATGATTATACCAAGCCAAATTGAATGAACTGAAAATGCCTTCCGAGATGAAGAAGACATAAAAGTATATAATTTGAAAATAATTTGAAAATAAAAAAATCATTTGTTTTGTAATTTTTTAATCCTTTATATTTATATACACACATATATATATATATATATATAGCACGTCACTCCACTACTCATCCGTTTGCACTGGCTGCCAGTTGCTGCTTGCATCAAATTCAAAGCTCTGATGTTTGCTTACAAAGCGACTTCAAAGCGACTTCACTTTCCCGAACTCTCACATTCAATCTGCCCAGTTGGTGGAATGAACTCCCTAACTGCATCAGAACGGCAGAGTCACTCGCTGTCTTCAAGAAACGACTAAAAACTCAACTATTTAGTCTCCACTTCACTTCCTAATCTGCAATTGCCTCTCTGGCTCCTCCACTAACTACCAAAAAAAATTACTAATGTTGCTTCTTAGACTTTACAGACCTGAAACTTGCCTACAGCACTTATTCATTGTTGCTCTTATAGTTGCGTAAATTGCTTCCTTTTCCTCATTTGTAAGTCGCTTACTTAATATTTTAATTCTTTTTCATTTGTAAAGATATTTGCGTATTGCTCTACATCTTAAGCAGTGTGTAAGCAAGGCACACAATTTACGCACTCTGCGTTGGACAATAGACCGGCTTTGTTCTGGTCTAAAGAACCGACTCTTATAGTATCTCAAAATAGCAACGCGCCAAAACACGCCTGCTTTTTTAGATCAGAACGCCTATGGGCGCACATATGAGTGCAAATGCATTTGCTATTTAAACAGCGTGGCACAAAACGTCAAAATGACCCTTGCGCCGAGCTGAAACTAGCAAACAATTGCGTCGCGCCTTGAGCTACAATGTGCCGGGTGTATGATAGGACCCTAAGGGTCTTTTCATACACCCAGCGCAATAAGACGCTAGACGTGTTTGGCGCGTTATGTTGCTATTTTCAGAGCAGCACAACCCTAATTTTCACATTTTACATTTTGCGGGATCGAATCTGTATCGGTCGATTCTCAGAATTTTGTCAACAGGATCGGATCAGTTCCGAAAAAATGATATCAGTGCATCCCTAAAAAATGTTTTCATCCAGAAATGAGCATCAACACAAATGTGTTTTATATTTGCAGTTAGTTTTCCAGGAAGCATGGGTCAGACATCACCTACCAGTGCAGCTGAGAAAAGCCCAGAGTCAAAGTTGGAGTCCTCACGAGTAAGTTTCTGCTTAAAACATTTTATAAGCACACAGTTTGAGTTGAGTCTCTTACACATCTCTATGATCTTGCAGACAGACACACGACGGATCACACACATCTCTGCCGAACAGAAGAGACGGTTCAACATCAAGCTGGGGTTTGATACGTTACACAGTCTGGTGACGACTCTGAGCTCACAGCCCAGTATAAAGGTAAAGTACACTGCCTTCAGTCACTACAATACCTGACAAAAGTCCTGACTATGCAAGTTTTAAGAACGACAAATAATAACATGACTTCTAGTTGATCATTTGGTATCAGAAGTGGCTTATATGAAAGGCAAAGGCCTCTAGATTACGCTATTTGAGCACAATTAAATATGATCATGCCTTGATTATAATTGATGTCATTAGGACAGTAAGCTCTGACTCTGCTTAGGCTAAAGTCTCATCACTGAACTGAAATAATGTCCAGTATAGAATATAAAGTCCTGCTGCAGTGGAGAAAGAATGAATATTGTGTCTGACTCCATCATGAGCTTGGAGGACTGCATCCATACATCTCTGACATGACTCAAATCACTGATTAATAAAGTCATCTGGAATGAAGGAGAAAGCCTTCCTGCAGGACTCCCAGAGTTCATCAAGACCCTTTGTGTATATCTTCAATGCCTCCTCCTTCATCTTGCTCAATAATGTTGATATCTGGTGACTGGGCTGGCCAATCCTGGAGCAGCTTGACCTTCTTTGCTTTCAGGAGCTTTGATGTGGAGGCTGAAGTATGAGAAGAAGCGCTATCCTGCTGGAGAATTGTCCCTCTCCTGTGGTTTGTAATGTAATGGGCAGCACAAATGTCTTGATACCTCAGGCTGTTGATGTTGATCATCCACTCTGCAGATCTCTCGCACACCCCCATACTGAATGTTACCCCAAACCAAGAGTTTTCCTTCACCAAACTTGACTGATTTCTGTGAGAATCTTGGCTCCATGCTGGTTCCAGTAGGTCTTCTGCAGTATTTGTGATGATTGGGATGCAGCTCAACAGATGATTCATGGGAGAAATAGACTTTCTGCCACTTTTCCAAATGATCTAGTCATGAAGTTATTATCTGTTGCTCTTACATCTGAGATTGACGACGAGACTTTTGGTAGGTAGTGTAGACCTAAATAAAATAAAGTAAACTTTGTCTAAAATGGTGAACATGCACACATGCTTGAAGTGTGGCTGCAAGGGCATCCGCTTCATATGCTGGAGTAGTTGGCGGTTCATTTCACTGAGGCGACTCCTGATAAATAAGGGACTAAGCCAAAGGAATATTAATGAATAAATGAATAATATACACTCTTCGTCTATGCAAAGGTATTTCAATAAATTTTACAAAGTTTTTAGATTATTATTAATACTTACAGGTTGCATTAAGTACACTTTAGCTGTGCTGAATTAATAGAATTTTTTATTTCTAATGCATCTTTGGTGTTTTTGCTTATACTTTTTCACACAGGGCTATTTTGTATTTTCATTCATTCATTCATTTTCTTGTCGGCTTTCGGGTCGCCACAGCGGAATGAACCGCCAACTTATCCAGCAAGTTTTTACACAGCGGATGCCCTACCAGGCGCAACCCATCTCTGGGAAACATCCACACACACACACACACATTCGCACACACACTACGGACAATTTAGTCTACCCAATTCACCTGTACCGCATGTCTTTGACTGTTGGGGAAACCGCAGCTCTGGGAGTAAACCCACGCGAAGGCAGGGAGAACATGCAAACGCCACTTGGAAACGCCAACTGAGCCGAGGTTCGAACCAGCGACCCAGCGACCTTCTCGCTGTGAGGCGACAGCACTACCTACTGCGCCACTGCCTCGCCCTATTTTGTATTTTGTTTTGCCTTAACTATAAAAAGTTGCATTAAAAAAACTGCATGATGTGTTTACTTGTGTCACCTAATATTTAACTTTGTTTGATGATGATCTGAAACAGACTACTAGCTTCATTGGGTATTCTTGGTTCCTCGCTGACACTTTTTCCTGTAATTTCTGCGGTTCACAGATCAGTAAAGCCACGACTTTGCAGAAAACGGCAGAGTACATCAGTAAGATGCAGCAGGAGAGAGCACAGCTTCATGAGGAGGCGCAGAGGCTGAGAGACCAGATCCTGGCACTCAATTCCGCCATCAAGTCAGTGTAATCCAACTCATTAAAGTTCTTATTATTGGGAAAATGTGCCCAGGGCTACATATTTGAGAACTGAGAAATATGTGCTTGTGGGTACATACAGTTGAAGTCAGAATTATTAGCCCCCTTTGATTTTTTTTTTCCTTCTTTTTAAAATATTTCCCAAATTATGTTTAACAGAGCAAGGAAATTTTCACAGTATGTCTGATAATATTTTTTCTTCTGGAGAAAGTCTTATTTGTTTTATTTTGGCTAGAATAAAATCAGTTTTTAATTTTTTAAACACCGTTTTAGGGACAAAATTATTAGCCCCTTAAAACTATATATTTTTTCGATAATCTACAGAACAAACCATCATTATACAAACACTTGCCTAATTCCCCTAACCTGCCTAGTTAACCTAATTAACCTAGTTAAGCCTTTAAATGTCACTTTAAGCTGTATAGAAGTGTCTTGAAGAATATCTAGTCAAATATTATTTACTGTCGTCATGGCAAAAAGAAAATAAATCAGTTATTAGAGATGAATTATTAAAACTGTTATGTTTAGAAATGTGTTGAAAAAATCTGCTCTCTGTTAAACAGAAATTGGATAAAAAATAAACAAGCGGTCTAATAATTCAGGGGGGGCTAATAATTCTGACTTCAACTGTATAGCCAGTGTTGGGGATCATACTTTGGAAATGTAATAGATTACACAAAATTTAATAAGTAGTGTACCTTTTTAATTGCTTTACGTTAGTAAAGTAACATCTGATTACTTTTTAATTACTTTTAAGTTTCTAATGGATATTTTCAACTAAATCAATTTCAAGCAGATGTGACCTTACAGTAGCTCAGTTTACTGTTATCTCTCATAACCTGAATTAGGATTATATTAATTTAATTTAAAGTTCAGCCACCACAAAACCAGACCTTATTACAAAAAAAGTGTTTACTGTTAGTACAAAATCAAAATTGTACTTGGAAAGTGTGATATGTGTGATAGTCCAGAGGAGACGTTAACACTAATGCATTATTTTGAAACTCTGTTTAGTGTGTGTCAGCAGCAGCTCCCCGCTACAGGCGTTCCAATAACACGGCAGAGGTTTGACCACATGAGGGAGAAGTTCAGAGAATATGTGAGAGCTCAAACGCTGCAGAACTGGAAGTTCTGGATTGTATCCTGCAAAGCTCTGTGTCTGTTGAGGAACCAATGAACCCATACTGCATGAAAAATACTGCTAATAACACATTATAGCGAACTACCTTTAAGGCAGGGGTGTCAAACTCATTTTAGCTCAGGGGCCACATGGAGAAAAAGCTGTTCCCAAGTGGGCCAGACTGGAAAAATCATGGTATAGTTAACTTAAAAACAGCAACTTAAGATTGTTTTAATATGATCAACATAAAGCTGGAGCCTGAGCACCACACAATCTCTTAGCAATTCATAACTTTTTGATTTTTTTTTCTTTCTTTTTTTGGATGCCCTTCCAGCTGCAACCCATCTCTGGGAAACATCCATACACATTTACCCACACACACTCATACACTACGGACAATTTAGCCTACCCAATTCACCTGTACCGCATGTCTTTGGACTGTGGGGGAAACCGGAGCACATGGAGACTCGAACCAGCGACCTTCTTGCTGTGAGGCGACAGCACTACCTACTGCGCCACTGCCTCGCCCTGTAATAGTTCGATATCTTGAGTTATATGATGTATCTTATCATATTATTTTCCTGTTTGTCGTTATTACATCACGTTCATAATATCACGTCACGTGGACCCCTCGCTGTGCTGTGTTTTATAAAACCCATTTCTAAGCTGGTGTTGGGCGGCATGGTGGCTCAGTGGTTAGCACAGTCGCCTCACAGAAAGAAGGTCACTGGTTCGAGTCCCGGCTGGGCCAGTTGTTATTTCTATGTAGAGTTTGCCTGTTCTCCTTGTTTTGGCGTGGGGTTTCTCCGGGTGCTCCGGTTCCCCCCACAGTCCAAACACATGCGCTATGGGTGAATTGAATAAGCTAAATTGGCCGTAGTGTATGAGTGTGTGTGAATGAGTGTGTATAAGTGTGTCACAGTACTGGGTTACAACTGGAAAGGCATCCGCTGCATAAAGCACATGCTGGAATAGTTGTTGGTTCATCGGACGGTGGCGACCGACAATTGGTGCGCTTCCAGAATGTTTTGTGAATCTAGTCTCTAGCATCCAAAAACATCAGTGCTGGTGAAAGTGCTTTATATTTTCCTGAACTGCTGTTCTCTCAGTTCAGCATCATCATCGAGCCGCTGTTCGAGTCGTTTAACAGTATGGTTTCCACAGCCAGTGTTGATGATCTGTGTCGCAGCACGCTCTCCTGGCTGGACCAGCACTGCTCTCTGCCTACACTCAGACCCAGTGAGTGACCGCTTACTATTTCATTTACCTCAAAACATTTTACTGCCGTTTAAACTACATCCATAAACAGTTAAAGTCAGAATTATGAGCCCCTCTGTTTATTTTTTTCCCAATTTCTGTTTAACGGAGAGCAGATTTTTTCAACACATTTATAATCATAATAGTTTTAATAACTCATTTCTAATAACTGGTTTATTTTATCTTTGCCATGATGACAGTAAATATTGTTTGACTAGATATTCTTCAAGATGCTAGTATTCAGCTTAAAAAAAGGAAGAGTAGGTTAAAGTTTGGGTGATTAGGCAAGTCATTGTATAACAGTGGTTTGTTTTGTAGACAATCCAAAACAAAAATTGCTTAAGGGGGCTAATAATATTGACCTTACAATGGCTTAAAATAAATTAAACTGATACTATTTTAGCCAAAATAAAACAAACAAGACTTTCTCCAGAAGAAATTTCATAGAATCACATTTGATGAATAGAAAGTTAGTATAGCATGTCATTAAAACAGAATAATGTTAATAACAGAATTAAATATTTAGATGATCATTTATTCGAATAACATCATTTTTACATTATAAATGTCTTTACTGTCAATTTTTATCAATTTCATGTATTCTTTCTGAATAAAAATACTACTTAGTTTCAATAAAAAAAGGTTTAAATAAAATATCATATTAAAAAAATCATTAATAATCATTTAGAAAGTTAGTATAGCATGTTATTAAGACAGAATAATGTTAATAACAGAATTAGATAATTAGATACTCATTTATTCGAATAACAGATTTTTTTTGACATTATGAATGTCTTTACTGTAAATTTTTATCAATTTCATGTATTCTTTCTAAATAAAAATACAACTTAGTTTTGTATTAAAAAGTTAAATATCAAATAAAAAAATCATTAAAATCATTAATAATCATTTAGAAAGTTAGTATAGCTGGCTAACCATTTTCATGTTTTTTGGGCTTGCCCCAAAAATACAAACATTCTAGTGTGAAATAGCGACTAAAATAAAAAAAGATAACTGGAGAAGAATTGGAGTACTCATTTATAACATTATACCTTGGGAAAATTCTAGAAATTATTCCAACTATTGACAAGTACTTAATTCAAATCCTTTTGGTAAGTAGCAGAAAAGCCAGAACTCGAAAATAGTTTTCCTCTTTCTTTTCTCTAAATAAAAAAGTAAAAAACAAAAAAACAGTTAGTATAGCATTTTATTGAAACAAAATAATGTCAATAACATAATTAAACATTATTAGATCATTTATTTGATAAATAAAATTACTTTTTTGACATTATAAATGTGTTTACTGTCATTTTTTATCATTTTTTTGTTTTCTTTCTGAATAAAAATACAACCTAATTTCTTTTAAAAAGTTTAATTAATTTTAAAAGTCTGAGAAATTATTAAATAATTTAAAAAAATAATTAGCTGGCTTTTACAACGGCATTTAACATGCTTATATGATTAGACATGAAGTCTAATCTTTAAATATAGGTTTAATAGTAGTACTTCTTTTTCTTTCTGACTCTATCAAGTTTCATTTGCTTTATTGGCATAACGTGTTTTAAGTATTGCAAATTCATTTGAACTATTTATAAAACTGAAATGACTTGCATTATTAAAATAATAAAATATACAATAAATGAGAAATAAATGACTGAAAAAAGGAACAATACTAAACAGTGTAGATTACTTAAATAAGGAAAATGAATTCTGTGGATTAATAATTTCTTCTGTCTCTCTTCTTCCAGCTGTTTTGAGTTCACTTCGTCTGCTCAGCACTTCCACATCAATCCTTTCAGACCCAAGTTTGGTTCCTGAACAAGCCGTCCAGGCAGTCACTCACGGACATTCATCGCACAGCTACAGCCAATGACAGCACACGCTCTCAGAATGACAGCCAATCAATAAACTTTGTCCCGTAGATACAGCCAATGACAGCACATGCACTCAGAATGACAGCAAATCAAATAATTTCCATCTATAGATACAGCCAATGACAGCACACGCTCTCAGAACGACAGCCAATCATAAAGCTTCATTCCACAGCTACAGCCAATGACAGCACACTCTCCCAGAATGACAGCCAATTATAAAACTTCATCCCACAGCTACAGCTAATGACAGCACACGCTTTCAAAATGACAGCCAATCATAAAGATTCATTCCACAGCTATAGCCAATGACAGCACACGCTTTCAAAATGACAGCCAATCATAAAGCTTCATTCCACAGCTATAGCCAATGACAGCACACGCTTTCAAAATGACAGCCAATCATAAAGCTTCATTCCACAGCCAATGACAGCACACGCTTTCAAAATGACAGCCAATCATAAAGCTTCATTCCACAGCTATAGCCAATGACAGCACATGCTTTCAAAATGACAGCCAATCATAAAGCTTCATTCCACAGCTATAGCCAATGACAGCACACTCTCCTAGAATGACAGCCAATTATAAAACTTCATCCCACAGCTCCAGCCAATGACAGCACACTCTCCTAGAATGACAGCCAATTATAAAACTTCATCCCACAGCTCCAGCCAATGACAGCACACAATCTCAAAATAACAGCCAATCATAAAACTTCATTCCACAGCCAATGACAGCACACACTCTCAGAATGACGGCCAATCATAACACTTCATCCCACAGCTGCAGCCAATGACAGCACACGCTGTCAGAATGACAGCCAATCATAACACTTCATCCCACAGCTATAGCCAATGACAGCACACACTCTTAAACTACAGCCAATCATAACACTTCATCCTATAGCTACAGCCAATGACAGCACACTCTCTCAAACTACAGCCAATCATAACACTTCATCGCACAGCTACAGGCAATGACAGCACACACTCTCAGAATAAATCAATCATAACACTTGAATCATTGTACAACTACAGCCAATGAGAGCAGACACTTTTAGAATGAAAGCTAATCAAAACATGCAGTCTATAGATTCAGCCAATGACAGCACATGCTCTCAGAATGACAGCCAATCATAAAACTTCATTCTATAGCTACAGCCAATGACAGCACATGCTCTCAGAATGACAGCCAATCATAAAACTTCATTCTATAGCTACAGCCAATGACAGCACACGCTCTCAAAACAATGGCCAATCATAACATTTCATCCTCCAGCTATACAGCCAATGATAGTGCACTCTCAAACAACAGCCAATCAAAAGACTTCAAGCCACAGCTACAGCCAACGACATCACACGCTCTCAGAATGACAGCCAATCGAAAAGCTTCATCCCACAGCTACAGCCAATGACAGCACACTCTCTCAATACAATGACCAATCATAATGTTTTCTCCCTAAGCTATAGAGATGACCAAGTATATTATGCCTTTAGCAGAAGCTTTATTTAATGTTACAAGACGAATTCATCAAGGAGACGTATTTGTAATGTATAACGGCAGGTTTTTAAGACAATTTCTCATAAACGCATGCAATGATGCTCTGAGACTGGATTCGTTTTTAATTATTTATCAGAAATCAGAGAAGATGATCGACATCTCAAAAGAGAGGAGAACGATTTCAAACTCTGAATACCAGCACTCGATATATCAGTGATTTATATATACACTCACCGGCCACTTTATTAGGTACACCTTACTAGAACCGGGTTGGACCCTCTTTTGCCTTCAGAACTGCCTTAATTCGTTGCTGTGTAGATTCAACAAGCTACTGGAAATATTCCTCAGAGATTTTGCTCCATATTAACATGAGAGCATCACACAGTTGCTGCAGATTTGTCGGCTGCACATCCATGATGCCAATCTCCCGTTCCACCACATCCCAAAGGTGCTCTATTGGATTGAACTCTGGTGACTGTGGAGGCCATTTGAGCACAGTGAACTCATTGTCATGTTCAAGAAACCAGTCTGAGATGATTGAGCTTTATGACATGGTGCGTTATCCTGCTGGAAGTAGCCATCAGTAGATGAGTACACTGTGCTCATAAAGGGATGGACATGGTCAGCAGCAATACTCAGGTAGTCTGTGGCGTTGACACGATGCTTAATTGGTACTAATGAGCCCAAAGTGTGGAAAGAACATCTCCCCCACACCATTACACCACCACCACCAGCCTGAACCGTTGCTACAAGGCAGGATGGATCCATGCTTTCATGTTGTTGATGCCAAATTCTGACCCGACCATCCGAATGTGGCAGCAGAAATGGAGACTCATCAGAGCAGGCAACGTTTCTCCAATCTTTTATTGTCCAGTTTTGGTGAGTCTGTGTGAATTGTAGCCTCAGTTTCCTGTTCTTAGCTGACAGGAGCGGCACCCGGTGTGGTCTTCTGCTGCTGTAGCCCATCTGCCTCAAGGTTGGACGTGTTGTGTGTTCAGAGATACTCTCCTGCAGACCTCGGTTGTATTTGAGTTACTGTTGCCTTTCTATCAGCTGGAACCAGTCTGGCCATTCTCCTCTGACCTCTGGCATCAACAAGTCATTTGTGCCCACAGAACTGCCGCTCACTGGATGTTTTCTCATTTTCGGATCATTCTCTAAACCCTAGAGATGGTTGTGCGTGAAAATCCCAGCAGATCAGCAGTTTCTGAAATACTCAGACCAGCCTGTCTGGCACCAACAACTATTCCACGTTCAAAGTCACTTAAATCACCGGTCAGAAATTTGCATTAATGAGCAGTTGGACAGGTGTATCTAATAAAGTGGCCGGTAAGTATGTATGCATGTATATATGTATGTGTATATATATATATATCACTATATCAGTTATTTTAGTCATTCGCTATATACGTAATATGGGTTTTTAGATGCCATTTAATGCCTTACTGATGAAGTCGCAGTGTATGTTTATACTGTTGTTTTGTAATTCTCTTAAATATTTCATTGAATGTAAGTGTGATGCAATCAGATGCGTTATCTGTAACATTCTGTGCCTTGTTTACGTTATGATGTGTAATTTTAGCTTGGGATAGTTTTGCTGGTGTTTTCAACACATTTCAGAATTCCCTCAAGGAACAAATGTCAAATTTGTCTCTTGGTTTGTTGTTCATAGCATACATGTAATCTTCTGTACTTTCCGAAAAGTATTAATAAACATAAATACCATATTTTTTTGTGATGCATATTAGATAAACTGTTTAGCATCAAGTTGACTTAGCTTAGAAAAACAAAATAGATAAAAGTAGATAAATAGATATTAAATAAATAAATAAATAAATAATCACAATAAAAATTGGAAAACGCAAGACATAATTTGAAGAATAGTTTTTTCCCTCTTTTATAGTGTTTTAAACTCACCACGGCTGCATTTATTTGTATCGTTTATCCCTTAAAACTATTAATATTGTGAATGTTTAATAAAGTACAAAATACTGTTTTGTATTTTTTATTTAGGCTATTTTACATTTAAATTTAACTTAAGCAAATACTACATTTCCCAGTGCTGAAATAGCATCGCTGTGTAAAACATGTGCTGGATAAGTTGGTGGTTTATTCCGCTGTGGCGACCCGTGTTTAATTATGGAACTAAGCCAAAGGAAAACGAATGAATAAATACTACAGTAAACAGAAATAAGTCTGATTTAATGATTTGCTGCATATAAGACATATTTGTATTTATTGTCATCATTTGTGGGAACTGTTAGATTCCCCTTCAAAAATTTGGGGTAAGTGGAATTAAATAGTGTAATGTATAATAATAAATAATATAATTCTGTTTAGCAGTGTTGCTAATGTTTTATAATGATATTATTATATTAATGATATAAATTTTTTTCTTTTTAAAATATTTCCTAAATAATGTTTGACAGAGCAATGAATTTTTTACAGTGTGTCTGATAGTATTTTTTCTTCTAGAAAAAGTCTTATTTGTTTTATTTTGGATAGAATAAAAGCAGTTTTGAATTTTTTAAAAACTATTTTAAGGTCAATATTATTAGCCCCTTTAAGCTATTTTTTTTTTTCGATAGTCTACAGAACAAACCATCATTATACAATAACTTGCCTAATTACCCTAACCTGCCTAGTTGACCTTATTAACCTAGTTAAGCCTTTAAATGTCACTTTAAGCAGTATAGAAGTGTCTTGAAGAATATCTAGTAAAATATTATTTACTGTCATCATGGCAAAGAGAAAATAAATCAATTATAAGAAATAGGTTTTTAAAACTATTATGTTTAGAAATGTGCTGAAACAATCTTCCCTCCATTAAACAGAAATTGGGGAAAAAAATAAACAGGGGCGCTAATAATTCAGGGGGGCTAATAATTCTGACTTCAACTGTATATTGTCTAATAGCAGTCATCTTTATACAAAATTAGCATCAAAACTATTATATAGACATGCTAATGTGCTAAAAGTACCTCCCCAGGTGTCGCTAGTGAGCGTATATTGTTATGTAACATAATTCTATATAATATTGATGTAATTGTATAACTGTAATTAAATACCTGCATATTCTTATGCATTTAACCATGGTAGTAATCTAATATTCATTTATTTTTTATCTGGTACATTCATTTCTGTCTAATTTGTATATAAATAATAAAGTGTTAAATTTATTATGTTACTTGACTAATAGTTAGAGTAAATGCATGTTGAAGCTATATAGGATTTCCAATTAATATAAAAATGCTGCTGTTTCAACAGGTTTTTCAACAAATTATTATCAAACATTAACATCAACACTATGCTAATGTGCTAAAAGTACCTAACCAGGTGTTGCTAGTGGGTTTATAGCAATATACATTATTTCCCCCACACATATTAATACATTTAAAACTATTGTGAAAGTGCAATAAAGTATAAAATAACAGTTTTGTATTTTTCTTTTTTATATATCTTACATATTGTGCAACATGTTTGTAATTATTATCAGCTTTGTGGAAACTATCTTACATTCCCGTTTAAAATTTTGAGGTAAGTGGAATTATATATACTTTTATTACTATAAATAACTTTTATCACTATATATTAATAACAATTAAGCAGTTATCGTCATATAATAACATTAGCATCAAAAGTACCACACCAGGTGTCGCTAGTGAGTTCATTACTGTTATACATTGTTTCCCCCCTCCCCACACATTGTTTAATGAATCATTGTTCTTAGTATTATTACTGCTTCATCATTTGTCTGTTTCAGATTCATAAGTTTATAAATATGACCAGTTTTCTTCCTCTTAAGTCAGTAAGTGCAGTTTGTCGCAGTTCCTCTTTCTGTCTCTGTAGTGAGTTTATACTGTTATAGATTGTTTTCCCCCACACAATTTATACTGTTAAAAAATCATATTGTGAAAGTGTAATAAAGAACAAAATAACAGTTTTTTTTTTTATTTATTTTGAATTTATTTTACACTTATATTTAAATCTTTTTATAGATAGCCTAGATCAGGGTCACCAATCTCGTTCCTGGAGGTCCGGTGCCCTGTAGGGTTTAGCTCCAACTTGCCTCAACACACACGCCTGGGTGTTTCAAGTATACCTAGTAAGACCTTGATTAGATTGTTCAGGTGTGTTTGATTAGTGTTGGAGCTAAGATCTGCAGGACAGACAGACACACAGACAGACAGACAGACACACAGACAGACAGATAGATAGATAGATAGATAGATAGATAGATAGATAGATAGATAGATAGATAGATAGATAGATAGATAGATAGATAGATAGATAGATAGATAGATAGATAGATAGATAGATAGATAGATAGATAGATAGATAGTAACACACACATACAAAGATTATTTTCTTGAATAATAGTGACAGTAAATGCATTTTAATGTTATATAGGATTTCATATTTTTTTATAAAAATGCTGCTGTTTCAATGGTTTCAACAATTAATCTGTCCTCATTATGAAACATTAGCATCAACACTATTAGTATAGAAATGCTAACGTGCTCCTCATCAGGTGTCGCTAGTGAGTTTATACTGCTATACATTGTTTTTCCCCCACACATTTTATGAACACATTTAAAACTATTATTATTGTGAATGTGTAATAAAGTACACAATAGCTGTTTTGTATGTTTTTAAATATGTTTTACACACTGCGTAACATGTTTGTTATTATTATCAGCTTTGTGGAAACTGTTACTTTCCCTCTTAATACTTTGAGGTAAGTGAAATTATACGTTTGCTACCATACATAACCTTTATTACTTTATATTATTAACAGTTAAGCAGTTATCAAGCAGTTATCTTCATATAACATTAGCATCAACACTATTATATTGAAATGCTAATATGCTAAAGGTACCACACCAGGTGTCGCTAGTGAGTTTATACTGTTATACATTGTTTTTCCCCCCACACATTTTATTAATACCGTATTATAAATCATAATTAGTGTTATTGTTAGTATTGGTATTGTGTTCGCTTCATCATTTGCCTTTTTCATATTCATACGTTTATAAATGTGAACGATTTTTTATTCTTGTTGTTATGAGTCAGTATTGCGGCGCGCCGCAGTTCCACCTCCTGACCTGCTGGCGGTGCTGCGTCTGATGCTCTGCCGCTGTAGTCGTCCCGTTCTCGGCTGCCGCTGTCCAGCACTGAGCGTTCAGCACCGCGAGCGGAGGACAGCTCCCGATCCTCCCGCAGAAAAACACCGCAGAAGAGCTCCAACCGGCCGGCTTCACATCCACACGACAACCGGTAAGATTATCCAACCCTCCTGATCAAAAACACACCGTTATAACACCGAACAAACACGAGAATGCGCGTGTTTGTGTGTGTGTGTGTGTGATCATCCAACACACGCACAACAGCAGCGCCGCAAGCTCTTAATGTGATTAAACGCGATTATTTTTCAACACGCACATTCTTTTGTTCTCTACTATGTGTTTACGAGTGTGTGTGAGTGATAAAGAAACGCAAATTACATTACCGCGAGTATTTTCCGTCTTTATCTTCATCCAACGGCTTAATAATAGACGTGTTTGAAATGAATGACGCGAAGGATAATGTAGGACGGTTTGTTTGTTTGTGTGTGTGTGTGTGTGTTGTATGAATTGTTTGGCTTAAATAACATAAGCTCGATATTTTTAATCAAATAATAGTCCAATAACGGTTTATAATGGGAATCATCATCATCATTAGAAATCTGAGCCGTAGTGAAGAGCAGAGATGATGAGAGGATTATGGTTTCGTTTGGTTTTAATAACAAAAGCGCGACTATCATCACATATATGCAAGTAATCAGATCAATATGAGTTCTAGTAGGCTTTGTTGATTCATTTCTTGCTATATTTATCGTGAAGTTTGCGAGGAGTAATGTTTCTAAGCAATGTACACTCACCGGCCACTTTATTAGGTACACCTTACTAGTACTGGGTTGGACCCACTTTTGCCTTCAGAACTGCCTTAATCCGTTGCTGCGTAGATTCAACAAGCTACTGGAAATATTCCTCAGAGATTTTGCTCCAAATTGACATGATAGCATCACGGAGTTGCTGGAGATTTGTCGGCTGCACATCCATGATGTGAATCTCCCGTTCCAACACATCCCAAAGGTGCTCTATTGGATTGAGCTCTGGTGACTGTGGAGGCCATTTGAGTACAGTGAACTCATTGTCATGTTCAAGAAACCAGTCTGAGATGATTGAGCTTTATGACATGGTGTGTTATCCTGCTGGAAGTAGCCATCAGAAGATGGAGACACTGTGCTCATAAAGGCATTGACATGGTCAGCAACAATACTCAGGTTGGCTGTGGCGTTGACACGATGCTCAAGGCTGAACTGTTGATGGATCCATGCTTTCATGTTGTTGATGCCAAATTCGACCCGACCATCTGAATGTGCGGCAGAAATGGAGACTCATCAACGCTTAACCAATCTTCTATTTAGCCTCAGTTTCCTGTTCTCAGTTGGCTTTGACGTGTTGTGTGTTCACAGATGCTCTTCTGCAGACCTTGGTCCTTGTCCAGCCAGACAAATTGCTTGTCGCTGGAATCTTATCGTGTCACATGTTGTCAGGACATGGTTTTAAAAGTGATTTTCTCAGTATTTTTATTTTTTGAAATCCTCAATTGTATCTTGTAGTTGTACAAAAATGATAGCTTAACTCTCAGGAGATTTGAAGATTGTGTTTGCCAAATCAAACTCTGGCTCACAGATAACTTTAGGCTTTTGAATGAAGACAAGTAATGTTTTTAAACAAATTTCAGGAGGAGCACGATCAGTCGATCAGTCGAGGCTAATTTATCACACACACAATCAATCATTCTATTATCCAATCAGCTCAAGAGCAAACCCCTATAAATAGTCAAACACGTCATACCTCCGTTTTCTCTTGACTTCAGCGTCCCTCCACCACCCCAACTCCACACTATTAAACCAGATACCTATTTAAATCCGTATGAGTTGACTACATCATTGTTTTTATTCATGCTGCTTAATTATTAATGTGTGATACAGTATATGCATGTTAAACTGCTAGTAAATCCTGTTTCATCATGCGCTTTTACCTTTGTATGGTCATGCTGCTAGGGATGTATGTGTGTGTGTGTGTGTGTGTTGTGAGGGTCTCTGTGCTGCGCTCCGCACCCTCTTTACTCAGGGGTCACGGCTCCTATTCTTCAAAGACTGACAAATTCACCCACTTAACAGAGGACTGTTAGTTTCCTGCAGCTGGTTGCCCGGTTTTAGTCTGCGTTGTAGATTTATTTGAGCCTCCCGACTGCCTTGAGGTGGTTTAGTGCGATGATTGTGTAGGAAGTGTCTAGGTAAAGAGGTATAAAGTAAGAAAAGAAAGGTAATTCTGTTTGTTTATCTGAAGAGGCTGCAGAAATGAATGGTGCTGAGCTGGTGTTTGATGCTTTTTAGCTCTTCAAACCTGGTAAAAATGCAGGATTCAGATGCAGTGAACATTGCCGAGATGCTTTCAGAAGTGTGCGCTGGATTTGGATTTTCATAAATAAATGAGCTGCTGGCGAGGCAGTGGCGCAGTAGGTAGTGCTGTCGCCTCACAGCAAGAGGGTCGCTGGTTCGAATCTCGGCTCAGTTGGCGTTTCTGTGTGGAGTTTGCATGTTCTCCCTAGCCTTCGCGTGGGTTTCCTCCGGGTGCTCCGGTTCCCCCCACAGTCCAAAGACATGCGGTACAGGTGAATTGGGTAGGCTAAATTGTCCGTAGTGTGTGTGCGTGTGTGTGTGAATGTTTCCCAGAGATGAGTTGTGGCTGGAAGGGCATCCGCTGCGTAAAAACGTGCTGGATAAGTAGGCGGTTCATTCCGCTGTGGCGACCCCAGATTAATAAAGGGACTAAGCCGACAAGAAAATGAATGAATGAAATGAGCTGCTGTCGCTGAGGGACAATACACTGTCAAAAATTATTTCTGCCTTCGATTTTTTAGTTAACTGTTCTAGTCATCCCAACTTACATCAATCAGACTGTCTAAAAATATACAGGTGATCTTTGTATGACTCTGATTAACTTATAAAAATAAGTTAAAGCATCATGAAAATATTTGTTGTTTTGACCTTTTGTCATTACATTTTGACAGTGTAGGAAAAGCTGCTGGCATTTTTACAGAGGAACTTCAGAAATGGACTTTTTTTTTTGCCTGTATTTATGTCATAGAAAATAATCTGAGGAAAGCCTTGTCGGTAAATGTTAAGAATCTCAAGATAGCGAAACTATAATGGCACTCCATTATCCAAGCTGGAAATATGATCCTTTTAAGTAACCAGTCTGACGAGACGAACTCATCCAAGTCGTCATATTCTTTTCTTGTGTTTTAAGAGTTCACACTTAGCTGATGATTGATAATAAAGCTAGTTTGGCGTGCTGTCCTGGGAGAGAGCCCTGAGCTTATAAGATCCTCGAGCCCTGGGCTCCCTCCCGTTGCAAGACGAGAGGGGAGTTTAAGCTCAGGTAGATCTCGATGACTCCCCCTCTTGTTTATTGTAGCTAAGTGTCAGATATGGATGCTGAAAGGTGTACTCAGAGTTTAGCTAAAGTATTTGGATTAATTGTTTAGAGTGCTTATTTTTGAACTGTGGGAGGAAACCGGAGGACCCGGGGAAAACCCACGCAAGCAAGGGGAGAACGAGCAAACGCCGCACAGAAATGCCGTCTGGTTTGGAAAGGAATTAAACCAGGGGGATTCTTGCTGTGAGGCAACAGCGCTAATCACTGGCCACCGTGACGCCCGTTTGAAAGGAGGGAAAGTAGGGATGGGTGGGGGGGGTTTCTTCAAGATGAAGATACTGAGATGAGAAAAGTCTGGTTATTTATAGTAAGTTAAGGATCGTCTGATAGGATAATCAGTCATTAGCTAAATTTGGAACAGCTGTGAACAATCATAAGCACGTGATCCTCTCGAAATTTGTTTATAAATAAACTTCACTTATTTGTTCTTCAAAGCAGGAACCATCTTTTTCTTTATATAACAATACAATATGGAACGACGGTCAAACTGAATCACTCCGTCTCTCTCTTTACAACAAGGATGTGAAGTGATCAGTCATCAATAAGCAAAGGCATAATTAAATCATGCAATAATAATTTAAACATTATCTTGATTGTAGACAGTATAAATGCAATAAACAAATAACGATAACTATACATAATATTTTACAATTTGCATGATAAATATGGCTCTAACAGAAACATAATACAATTTGAATAGTGCTAAACCCGTGTTTTGGCTGGTTGCTTGTGTGTTGCTATCCGCTTGTTAAGTGTGACGTCACGCGAAGCGGCTTCCAGGTCCAAGCGCTCTATTCAACTGAATGGGGAGACTCATGAAATGGTTAAAAATAAACGTTTAAAAAGCGATTTAATACTTTCAAAAATCACGATCGCAATATATATGTCAGGGTTCAACGCTAAGGATTTTTTCTACTGGTCCGATCGGGCAAGTGGTTTAGATTTTTACTTGCCCTGCCAAAATTTTCACTGGCCCCACCAAAAAAAAAAGGTAAGTTAATAGCTATTTTTAGCCACATATTTTAAATAATGTGTCAAAAATAAAGTCTGTAAATCTAGAATTTCAATACTTAAAAAACAATTGTAAATATAAGTGTTATGCAAACAAAAACAGCCGTATGGAAAATGTGGAGGTATTTTATTGCAGTTTGAAATTTTTTAACAAAAGCTGGCTGAATTGTCAAACTGACGGCAAACTATGCATAACATCACTAAATTTTTATTTTATCGTGTTGTTTACATGTAAATGTCTACTTCCAAGACGCTAGAGACAGACATTTTCGTTTAGCCTTATAATTTGATGTTGCTGACATGTTGCTGTTTCTACGCTGTACTGGTTGTTACCAGGTAACAAAAAAAATAGCATGGTTAAATCAATCATATAAGACGAATTAGAAAGCAATATGTTGTTTACGACATTACAGAGAAGGTAGCATTTAAAGACTTAAAAGCTTTAAATGCACGCAATTGACAAATAGTCACAGACAAATTAAATGTTAGTGACTGACAAGGCAGCACTGTCCCAATCGGGCCAGTAATGATCCGGTCTACTGTCCCAAGTGTCTCTCACACTGGCCCTGGGCCACCAGGCAGTCCTTATTGTTGAGCCCTGTGCTGTCGCTGAGGGACAATACACTGTCAAAAATTATTTCAGCCTCCGATTTTTTAGTTAACTGTTCTAGTCATCTCAACTTACATCAATCAGACTGTCTAAAAATATACAGG